CTGCTGTTGTTGTTGTTGTTGTTGTTGTTGTTGTTGTTGTTTTTATTTTTGTTCTGGTAATGTTTTGCGGGGCTCGCAACTTCCTAAGAACTTATGAGCGTACGGTGAGTCTTTATTGTTGCTTTCTTTGCACTATGCGCTTCTAGCGTGAAGGAGTTATAATATCACTTTTTAATGTACGAATTTTTGTGTCTCCGTCGACACAATGTACATACCGTACGTACACGTGGCGGGCTTTAATCGTGCTTGTTTGGGCCAATGCGGGCTGAGAGGGATTGACAATACGTCCCAGCAGAAAGACCGAAATACTCGAAAAAAATGTGTTCCTCTCGAGAATCGAGCCAGGTTCTCCTGTGTGCGACGGAAAACGTCTAACTGTTACACCCGCCCGCGGATGAGTATGAAGATGTTGGTGACTTTTTTTATTATTTTTTTGTTACTGTTGTCCTGCATTGACCCTTCATGACTTCAACATATGAATCAACGTCATCGGCACTACCACCACAACCACCATCACCATCATCGTCATCATTATCGTCGTCGTCATCATCATCATCATCATCATCATCATCATCATCATCATCATCATCATCATCATCATCATCATCAGAAACAGATTTAAATAAACACACACATAAAAACCCCCCAAACAAACAAGTATGTACTACAGCAAAGCGCGCGCAAGTGACTACTACTTCGTCGTTTTGTTTGTTTTTTTCTTCTGGCTGGAACATTCGGACTAGATAGTAGTTTACCACGTTCAGATAGACGTACATGATGTGGAGACTACCCTCGCCCCCCCCCCTCCCCCCCCCCACTCTAAGGACCCCCTGGAAGTTCTAGGGGCAAAGGAGTGGGGGGCGGGGGTGAATAATGATTGCACCCACGATTCGTCAGCAGGAAACATGGTCATCCCTGTGGTGGTGATTTCCTCTTCTCCAGCCCCCCCCCCCCCCCCCCACGCACACACACTCGCGCGCAAAAATAGACCGGGTTTCTGTCCAACCAGAAATTTGCTTCACGTGGGGTTATTACTAGCAAGATATTTGATACCTCCGAGAGCGAAAAAAAAAAAGAATGCGACCGCATGCTGTTTAGGGGTCGATAACCTTTTCAGTCAATCTGGACGACTCAGCGGATGGCCCTGGTTCGAATCCCTGGCGGGATGTTCTTGAGCTTGGGTCGTTTTCCTGGTTTTTGAGTTTTCAAGGCTTTCATCGGAGTCGGCCGTTAAATTCGGAAGTCCCTCCGTTAAAGAGCAAATATACATGTAATGTTGACAGGGGTGTTAAACGCATACACGTCATTGAAAGTAACCAACTAGGCCTCTCCGCATTTTGAGAATGTCCACTTCGAGGGCCCAAATGTGATCACAAAGAAAGAACTTTTAAAAAAATTGGTCAGTGATTTACGGCGCTCCCAACTGCATAAGGTCATATGAGCGCTCGGGACACACCAAACATTTTCAGTTGGAAGGAAATTTTGAATTTTGCCCGGATTGGGGCCGAAGCCTACTCTGTAAATTTTGGACCGCCAAGGGATCTTTAACGGGCGCTACTTGTACAGGACCTCCGACGTATTTTGCCCTTGCCCGAGAAAGTTAGATGTAGATCCTACTTACCATAAGTTCAGGGGTGTGGCTGAAAGACAGCAGTAAGAAGGAGCCAAAGAGAAGTAAAAGAAAGGCTGCAGAAAGTTTCAGGAGCCCAGAGGATGGAGCAAAGGAAGTGATGGGGTGAGGGCAGAAAGTGGAGACAAAAGCAGACGACAGAAAATTGCTAGAGAGCAGGAAGGGGGGGAAGCAGACAATTTTAGAGAGGAAAATCTTTCGAACCCGAGACCTTTGAATGAAAGGCAAACACCTCTACCTCTAGGCCACGAGAGTCCCCGAAAGAACTTTGAATCCTATAAGAATAGTTGTCTTTGTAATGACGATGACAACTCTTAATCATATATTATGTGTACATGTAACTTTACCTTACTTGGAAATAACAATGAAATTCTGCATTAATAGCATCTAACTCTCTGCCTGTCTCCCTCCCCCCCCTCTCTCTCTCTCTCTCTCTCTCTCTC